TTATGACTTTTTCTTGTTGGCCATATTGCTGACAAAGATGTATATAATCATGTGATAATTTTAACCTACAGGACAGGAGGACTGATTGGGCAAAAACCCAGTTCAGTCCCCTACCCAAAATTATTAAATTGGTTAGAATCAGAGAAACAGAGAATTTAGGAAGTGATTATACAAAACAAACACTATTTTACAACTTTCCTCTTAAAATCAGAGCCCAAATGCAATTTCAGGGCCACCAACCCTGCTCTGAATTGTGACCTCCTGTGCTTGAAACGAGCTGCAGATTCTCTTAATATTCACAGTGCCACCCTTACCCTAGAGGCGGAATCGTTGCAGGTGACTTTTCGGCTAGCATGCCAGCAGCCATCTCTGATCTGGGAAGATTAGTGAAAGTGTCTTTGACGATTGATGCAATCATGATAAACTTCAGGGCCTTACACCCCCCCTGGAATTCAGTAGCATCATTGTATCATTGGGGGCCTTGCAGTCAGATTAGCCTTTTGAACATGAGGAATACGTGAGAATGACTGTAGTGTGTTCAAGGTAGCGTGCATGCATGCTTCAACACTTGTAAATTTCCGATAATCAAACATTGCATATCAAATTGTTTCTTTTTCAACAGTCAATGCTGCCTTGACATTTTGTAATAAATATTAATATTATTAATATTGATTATGAAAAGTAAAATATTATCAATGAAAATCTTGTAATTATCCAGCAAGATCTGCTCCACATTTTGATTTCAATTAAAATATTTATAATAACCAAAAAAAGACAATGCAAATTAAAAAAAAGTTACCTCTGGTTAGTTATTAACACGTATTCTTTAGGAGACCCAAAACCAAACCAAACAACAACACTCACGTTTTGTCACCTTGGACTCTGTCAAAAAATAAATTGTTTTTCCAAAAAAAAAAAAAAAAAATCAATTTGTGTCTGTCCTACCAAAAAAAAAACCAATAGGATAAATAATTAGTGTGTACGCGTCAATTGTATCACAAAACTTTTATTTTTAAAAATATGTCTTCCAGAGGATCGAATAAAAGAAGCAAAAACCAAGAAATAACTGGAAGAGAAAGGTAAGTGTTTTAAGGATGGTGGTGGTGGTTATCGCCCGCCACTTGTCATCACTCTAGTTTCTTTTTTTAAAAATTCATGTCGAAATCTAAAGAAACAGACAAGAAAACAAAGGGGAGGTACTTGGCGGGTAAGTGTTTTTAAGGATGGCGGTGGTGGTTATCGCCCGCCACCTGTCGTCGTCACTCTAGTTATTAACAAAGAATGGTGGTGGTTTATGAAAATTTAACATATATGTAAACTTACATCCATTTTTAATTTCTTAATATAGAGATGAAGCTGTAGTAGATGAAGGAGAGAAAGAAAATTTGGTTAAGTTGTTTTTCCTTTTATTTTAATTTAATTAGATTAAATAGCGAATAAAGTATATTGAATTTTCTCCTACATTGTGGAATCATTTCTTTCTTTTGTACATCAGGATCCCTCATTATTTAATTTCGATAAATTAAAGCGTCAATTGAAGTCTGTTCCATTGAACGAGGTATGCGGTAAACCATATTTTTGATTATTTGCTTAGTAATATACAATAAAACGTAGATACAACATACTTTTTTGTAAATTATCTATAGTGGATAGTTGGTTTCATTAACGTGACAAGCAAATTCAGGAAATTTCAGTCACAGTTAATCACGGAAATAACAACCAAAGGAGAAAAATGACTTGGAATGATACACACGAAGTTTTGTAAGTGTTCTAGTTGAATTGTATACCAGTATTACTCATTTTTTTATTTACTTAGGGCGCTCACCTCAATTATTGTATTGACATGGCCTTGTCCGTACAATACGTTTACCTCTTCAGAATGGAAGCAGATAATTGACACAAATCCATATAAAATGAAAGAATCGATATTGGCACTGATTTCAACATCGTTATACTATGCTTGTAGTCAAATTGCAATTGGATTAGATTATACTCTCGAATCTTTTTTATATTACATGAATGATTAAAAAAAAACTGAAAACAAAATTCATTGGAAAAAGACTAAATTTGAATTATTTTACACCCATTAGAAAGGATGAGCTTCCATTGGTACCAAAGCCAAAAATGACGGAAGGTGAACATTGTTGTTTTTACCTTCATCCACTATTAAAACCTTTTTTCTGTCGCAGCTTCAAAAACTATGAAGTAAGATTAAACAAATCTGTCAATAACTCTCTCAAGAGACCAGATTTTAGTTGCAGAATTGACAATATCACCATATTAAACTCTGAAATAAAACCAAGTGGCTATACTCCATTCCAGAAAAACAAAGACTTTGTTAAAATTAATACACGAGCAAAACATTCGATCAACCAATTATTAAGCAAGAAAGGTGGACCAAACTATACAATGTTCCTTTCAAACATGGGTATATGTCTGTCATAAAGCTAGTAGCGAAACTGTGCAAAAGTTGAAGCTAGTTTTGACTTTCGCCTCCTCTTCAAAATAGTTTTGCTTCTAGCTTTAGTTGGTTGTGATTTTTTGCTTTTTATTTTTGCAGTATTTTTTTGATTTTTACAAAATCCATTTGATAATCTAGGTGACAAAATTGATTCATTCTTTATGACTCTTAATCACGATGGAATCTATCAAGCGTGGCCATGGCTAAATACTAAATTAGTCATGGACAGATCTTCTTTTCCATTAATGGTATTATGCATGCATCATTTCTCAAAATTAGAGGTATACATTTTTTATCTTTTCTTTTGACTTTTATAATGAAGTCTTGCTTATTATTCAATCACAATTATATTTACAGGAAGAAATACAAATAATAGCAAACGATTATGAAAGCAGGCCCATTTATTTCACGCCTACTGCACTAAATAAATATATCAGGGAGGAACCAACTCTACCTCAATTGGACAATTTATTAAAAAATATTTATTTATATTAATTAATGTTTACGGGTATAATCTCGCGAAATAATCTGAAAAAAAAAAAAGAAAAATCAAATATTTCTTTAAGTCTTGCTATAATAAAATCAATCAAATCAATTAAATTTTAAAAATAAAAATAAAAAATCAACATGTAATGTTAAAAAATATTAATAATAAAATTTCCTAATTTGCAATTATAATTCATAATCATCAGCCATTATAGGCAGTTATAACATATTAATATAAGTGAATTTCGGGGACAGGCCATTATACACTATAAGAAATTTAATTAAGACCGTTATAGAGTAGGGTTTTTATATAGTAAAAAACCAGGATCCAATTTCCAGTTCGTTATTATTATAGAATGTAGGCCGTTATAGAAAAGGCCGTTATAAAGGGAGTGTACTATATATATAATATATAAATAGCTGAGCAATTTACATACACTTTATATCGTAGTATGATTCTGAAGAGCATGTAGTAGAATCATATATAGAAGTAATAATAGTGATAATAAACTAATTAAATAAATAAATTAATTTTGAAATGTTTATTGTGATTTTTCAATTGGAAATATAAGAGAAAAAAAATCCAATATTTAAATTATGGTTCATGTTCAAAAATTTAAGGCTACATCTACATAATTATCAATTTGCTCTACTAAAGCTTCAACTTCTTGTTGAATAGATTTGGTTTGAGCCAATGACAAGTGTGATGAAACTACCTGCCTATTGAACAAGAATGATTCACTGGAAATATCTGATACTTCCTTACTAAATGCTGCCCATAAAGTTGTATCAATTCCTTGATCAATAGATTTTAATTGATTTTTAAAATTGTTGTAAAAGTTTTCCATTGATGTGCTGACACCGGGAGTATCAACCCGTCCTAGATACATCACCAAAAATTTTATTCCTGTGGTAGATTCTGGATATTGTTTTGGCCAATAATCTGTTAGCTCTACTCGTTGTCTAAAGAAAAAATTTATTATTATTGAAATGATGAATTGTTAAAGTGTAATAGATGTGGTAGATTGCAAACTAAGTTAGATTTTGATATTGTTACTGGTAAGAATGTTTTGCTCGTGTATTAATTTTAACAAAGTCTTTGTTTTTCTGGAATAGATTATATAATCT